TAACAGAATTTACAGTTCCTTCCAAATTTGCTATTCCACCTTTGAACTGTGGAGCAAAACAAATCTGGATTGGAAGCAGTACAGACTGCATGTTCCTTAGAAGTGAGGACGGCAAGACTTTGTCCCGTGTTCTTTGGGCACGTCCCTGCAAAAAGACATCAATGGGTGATAAAACAAAAAAGAGGCAGGGCCTCCCCAAGACGGGCTGACACCGTGCATGGCTGCAACAGCCGTCTCACACATGATGGCAGTGTGAGCATGGTGTAGGACTGGGCCGGGTTTGTTCTCTTGTACACAGAGTAACTATTAGAACAGAACTAACAACCACAACAAGTGCTAAAGAGATAAAAACAACACTAACAAAAAAAGTCCCCCTTTAAACGTTAAAACAAAAATTCTCTATCTCCTTTATCATCTGTAGTATTTGAAGCAACAGCCAACAATCTAGCGTGACTCGACACATCAGTACTAAATATCTGAAAACCAATTATGTGACCTGCTAAGGTTCTCTTCAAGCCTGAGCATCCTTGGTTTCTTAAAAATAGTTGAGACCTCTTCCTTTCTGTTGCCTTCTTGATATGCCTTGTCTTTCATGGCGTGGCACCCAGAAGGAAGCACAATCTATGTGGTTAAAGCAGTACTTTTATCTCTCACAGTGACTTGAATATGGTAGGATGGAGAATATCAAGTCTCTCTTAGTTGCTTTGTCTGAGCATTATTTTTCTGTCCATGCTGCCCAAGATTGAATTAACCTTGTGGGCACAGAATTGCAGGGCACGAGAGAGGCCCACGAGTCTCTCTCTCGAGCACTTAACTTTGTCCTTATTCCAGACTGTTGGAATCAAGGCTATCGGACTGGCAGCACAGTCCTGTCTTCTGACATATTTGCTTTCCCTCCCAGACTCCTGGCTTCCAAAAATATAATTAACTTTCCATCAGTGTCCTTTTTCAGTTTAATGATTAATATCTTCAATAGGATAAGGGTAAGGATCATGGTGACCACATTATAGCTTTCTCCATAACTCTTCAAATATAATCATGGCAACCTCATTATACATTTGTAACCTCTAAATCACCTAGGTTATGGAAATATAATACATAAACCTTTCCTGAAATAGACAAGTGGAACAGAGAACCTAGAAACAATGATACATGAGCAATTAACAATGGCAGAGTTGGCAAGCATTAGTGGGTCAAGAATTTTTAAAATGTCTTCTTAAAAGTGCTGGGGAAACTAATAGATAAAGATCAGGCCTCCTCTGCACACTATATAAAAAAATAAACTGTAGCTAGATTAAAACCTTAAATATAAAAACCAAAAAAGTAATATTTTAAGGATAAAAGAGAACATCTTCATTTGCTAGGGAAAGATTTTAGAAATAGGATATAAAGAGCTTTTATAAAATGTTAAAAGAATAAACCAACACATTTAACTATATTAAAATTTTAAATATTTTTAAAAGACAAAGACCATAAAGTGAAAGGACATGCCCTTTGAGAAAAGATATTTATAACATACAAAAACAAAAACATAGGATATAGCCAAACCTTATACAAATGAATTATAAAACGGTATAGAGCCAGTAGAAAAAAATAAAACCAAAAAAGTAGAAACAAAGAATTCACCAAAGATGATGAGATTGATAAGAAATTACAATTAAAAGGAAATTCAATAACTCTAAGATCAATAAAAATTTTAAACTTTGATAGCACCAAAATTAGGTAGGGCTGTGAGGAAAGAAGAACCTGACTGATAGAAAAATAACCAACTCACTGCCATCAAGTGGGTGCCAGCGTATAGCGACCCTGTAGGACAGAGCAAACCTGCCCCTATGAGTTTCCAAGACTGAACTTGAATGGGGTAGAAAGTCTCATCTTTCTCTCTCAGAGCGGCGAGTCATGTCAAACTGCTGACCTTGTGGATCATCGCAGCCCAACGTGTAACCACTATGCCACCAGGGCTCCTACTGTGATTTAATCTGGCACAGATACTCTATAGAATAAATTAGTGATGCCTAGGAAAATGAAGGGACCATATGCTACACCCAGCCAAATGACCCCATGGGATTTTGCTAAATAGGATACATACAAGTACATGGGTGCTGCATTGCTCTTTGCGACTGAAAGAGTGGAAACCACCTCTCACCAGTAGGTGAATAAGCCAACTGCGGTCGAGTCCATGACGTTCACTGCCATCGCACCAATTCTGACTCAGTGTGACCTGAAAGATTGGGGTAGAACTGCCCCTGTGGGTTTCCAGTCCTTACAAGAATAGACTCCCTCATCTTTATCCTGGTGGTCTTGAACTGATAACCAAGAGACATAACAGACTACACCAGCAAAATGCACATGGCAGTTAATGTGAACGAACAAAACCTACATGAGACAAAAATATGTGTCGTGTGATATCACAAATGAAAACATACAAAACATATTTTTGCCTGAGAAGCTTTCTCAATCACAGGGCAGACATTTTTAAATCTTTTTTTTTTAAAGCCAAGTTTCAAATGCACAAAATTAAGAGAAAATAGTATATTTAAACTCCATGGGTTTATCACCTTGCCTCAATTATTATCGATATTATGACAAGCATCAGCAAACACTGTTAAACACCAGAATCCATGATGTGGGCGTGGCTAGTAACCAGGACTTAAGAAAGAGCTCCAAACAAGAAGAGGGGAAAAGTCCCACCTCTGTGAGTTCGCTAACTCTGCACTCGGACTTCCTCTGCCTGGTGCCCATTCTGGACTGAGAAATCTTCAGATTGGATTGACACCGTGTTTGGGACAAGTGGGAATAACCAGGACTCAATTGTTTTAAAGTCCATAATGCAATAGATGCAACCTGACTTTCGAAACAGTAAAAACAGAGAAATTCTAAATGCCAAAGGCACAAAGAAGATCCAAAACACTAAAACTGCACTACTTTTTCCTTTGAATTTATCACTACTGCCTTCCTCCCCCTCAAATAACATTTCCACATAATGAATGCACCAACAGATACGGTATAACACATGGAAGTGATGACGCTGAGGAAGCCAGTTCTAGCATGGCACACCCAGGTACACCCTGCACAAGTCTCATGACGTTCCCAGAGGTGAAGTTTGGCCTCGTTCACCGACTTCCCATGCTGCAGACAGATCATCATCACCACTCTGTTCCTTTTCTTTTTTTAATCATTTTGTTGGGGCTCGTACACGCTTATCACAATCCATACAGCCATCCATTGTGTGTCAAGCACATTTGTACATTTGTTGCCATCATCATTCTCAAAACATTTGCTTTCTACTTGAGTCCTTGGTATCAGCTCATCGTTTTCCCCTCCCTCCCCACTCCCCTCTCCATCATGACTTGATGATAATTTACAAATTATCATTATTTTGCCACATCTTACACTGTCTAACATCTCCCTTTACCACTTTTCTGTTGTCCGTCCCCCAGGGAGGGGGTTATATGTAGATCCCTGTAATCGGTTCCGCCTTTCTCCCTCACCGTCCCTCCACCCTCCCAGTATCACCATTCTCACCACTGGTCCTGAAGGGATCATCCTTTTCTATAATCCCTTGCATTCAAGCATAAAAAGTCTGAAAATGTTACTTTTATCATAATTGTATAATAAAGGTATAAACTGTGGTTTAGAAGTCACAGATCGAGCTGCGTAGTCCCTCTGGTAATTGGAAAATAAACTATCAAAACTATGCATTTGTTTCCATTTACTCACATAGATAATGACAGCGCATTAGCTCAATAGTTGAACATGAGAACCTTATCAGATCATCTTAAGTAAAACGATTACGTTATATTAGGTCTGCTTATTTCATGGCTTAATTCTGTCTTCTCAAAGCCAACTGAAGTCGGTAACATGTAAAAAAGAATAATAGTGACATAGTATGCTTATATAAATAAGGCCAGTGGGGGGAATTTCGTGGATGACAAAAACCATACAATGTGTGCATAATTCATAAGAAAATACAGTAGGGAATCTAAAGTTGCTTCTTAAAGGCATAAATACAGAAGTTCAAAATATTCAAGGATATGGTTTTGCCCTCAGATATGTTCTTGGGAGAAAAGCCACTCCTTCTTATGGTTACATCCCAAAGACCAGGTCCTCCTATGAAATCACAGTCAGGGACTCTGCCCATTTGGTGACAATGTCCTCCATGGCCCTGTCATTCATTGTCGAGTGCCCCTATGCCACACTGTGGTGCCCCTGACACAGCCGCCTGCCCCCTTCTCCAAGCGGCCTTCCTCACCACTGTGCAGCACGTGCCGTTTGAGGTGGTGCTGGTCAGTACTGGCTGCGGAACACGGCCTCCATCACCTGCTTTGGGCGAGGACCTCACTCGTTCTCTGCCCACTGCCTCATGCCACCCATCTTGGGTCTGGACCCTCATCCTCTGTCTCTACCAGCCCATTCAGACTCTTTAGTTTTCTTCCCGTTCTCTCCTCCACGAACCTCCCTCGCACCTCTGGGCCCTGGCCCAGAGTCCCCTTGTCTACCTGCAATCTGGCTTCATCCCACTGTGGCCCCATACCCTCTTTGGCCGGACCGAGACATCAAGAATGAACAGAAGAAAGCATCCCTGGCCAGTCAGCCACTATCCTTCATGTGGCCCAGCCATCACTGGGCCCTCTGTTGGACCTTTGAGACAGTACATATGAGGCAACTCAGGTCTGGCCGGGGGTCCACATAGGGGACCTACGAGTTTTTTCAAAGTTGTTGTAAGTGCAACATGTCACATAATGAGATAGGCAGCAAGGACTAGGTGTCCTAGCAGAGTGACTTCCTTTACATTACTAACCCATCTTCTACCTAAATCCAGAGTCCTGAGCTTCCAAGATAGCAGTGGCATGACTCCTATATCACCACCCTCACTTCCACGAGGCTACTGGCACAGACAGAAGGCCCACAGCTTCTCTAACACGCTGTACAGTAGGAAGAGAGGGGAAGAGTTGGCCAATAAAAGTCCGCAGGAACTGTTTGATAGGGTGGACACATACCTCTTGAAACAGTGAGCTGCTGTCAGGACCCAGCAACTACTCAGGAGGGTGGCTCCACAAAGGAGCCTGCCATGGCCATGGGACGACTTCAGCCGAAGGGAAACTTGCCAAGGCCAACCGCCCCTAGGAAGCAAGCAAGCACACATGAACCTGCAGTTGTCCTTGCGTCGACTCCCACTCCTGACACTGCTCGTGTGTCGGAGGAGGGCTGTACTACGTAGGGTTGTCACTGGCTGATGCTTTCTGAAATAGATCACCAGGTCTTTCTTCCGAGGTGCCTTTGGCTGGACTCAAACTGTCGACCTTAGGCTAGCAGCCGTGCTTCACTATCGCCACTACCCAAAGACGGCAGCCACAGATCAATGAAAAGCAAAGAAAAATACTGATTAGAGCCATCGTTTTGGATGCTTGGGGTTAATGATATGAAATGATTCTATGGCAAAAGCCCCTTCTTCTCGAGAAGGGTCCTTGCACAGCATTGGAAATTTGTTTATAGACATTTTTGTGCATCTCACCTACCCCTGACACTCTTGTAAACAGGTTTAGCCCTTTTTGCATTTCAAGCTTTAGATGGAAAATCAACTTTTCACTCAACTACTTCCCCTGAACAGTCTGAAGAAGTATTTAATAAACAAAGTATTGGGTGTTTCAATAATTAATAAACAAATAAAAATTGGATTAGCATGAATCATGAAACAAATACAGTCTAAATTAAATGAATATCTTTTCCAGATACTCGAGTATAAACCAACCCAAATATCATCTGAGGCACCTAATTTTACCACAAAAACTGCATTTAAAATGTGCTGGAAAACGGCTTATACACGAGTATATATGGTATCTTGTTGCTCTCACATAGTACTCCAGCACCATATTCATTTCATGAATCAGGGGATTGTGGTATAAGAGCATTGTCTACATAAATATAGATGAAAGTCACAAAGACCAAACTCACCACCACTGAGTCGACTCAGACTGACAGTGAGTGACCCTATAGGTCGGGGTCACTCTGTCCGTCGGGCTTCTGACGCTTTAGCACGCTTTATGGGAGTAGAAAGCTTTATCTTTCTCCCAAGGATCGGGTGGCGGTTTGGAACTACACCCCAACACTGTGCCACCAGGGCTCCTAAAATATATGTCAAATGGCAGTAGAATTTCAAAATAATCTGAACTTAATGTCGAAGATAAAAAATGGGTAAGATAAACCCCTTGTATAAGAGTAGACAACCCCAAATTTGTAACTCTATGTGTATACAAAAATTCCGTAATATAAAAAGAAAATCTCGTCTAGAGGTTTTTTTACCTTAAAGAATTTTTCCCACCAATGATCCTCTTCTGTCTACGGTGCAGTAACCTCAAACCACACACAGATGTAAGGGAATCTGAAGTAGAAACGGGTCATCCATTAAACTACCACATGTGGACGCAGGGATAAGAAACGTAAGTGATAGAGTGTTACTTAGTTATTCCCTCCACCTCTATTTTTAAAATACCATTTCTCTGCAAATTATAAAATACTTTTTCTTTTCAGAAAAGCAAAAGTTGTTGTTTAATTGGACCAATGTGACAATGATTTGCAAGCCAGGGAGGAACTGTGTGAGACTCCTACCATCCATGTCTAAGGTTTCACAGGCAGCTGAATGGGTCGGCCCCACCCAATACCTCATCCCTGTAGGTACCTGCATCGTCTCTGCTGAGGGCAGTAGCTGCGTCAGAGTTCCGCAGCAGTACGTAAATCAAGACAATTGCTTGCAAAGACAGTAATGGTCTGCATCACCTACTTTCCACCTGCAGCACTGGTTTAAGCCACATATGAAATGTAATTCAGGGGAGTAAAATACATTCAAGCAAAGCAACAGAAAGACATACTGTTTATAAGTAACCCCGGCATTGGAATCAGATAGTCTGCCGCTCGATAGTCACGTGCCATTGAATGAGTTTGCTAAGTAAGGGCAAAATCCTGGGATAAAAGTTTGATCTGACTTTGCATTGGCATACAGAGTATCCAAGAAAAGAGTTGCCCAACAGCAGTAGTGGTTAGCTCTTTGTGTACACAGATGTTAGCCACTAACATTTTTCTGTACTAAAACATCTGGATCTTTTTTAGCAGCTAATTCTTTGAACCACGGCAGGGTCAAATTGAATGGGCCTGGAGGAAATGGTTACTATCAAAGATGCCACAGCATTGAAACACAGGATGAAACTCAATGATGTTTGTTTTATGAAAGGTCATAAGTTTGTAATGGCATATGAGAGTTACATTAACAAGATATGTGAAACAGTGCTATACCAAAAAAGGTTGACTATAACAAGGTATGCCTAATTTAAAAAAATAACTATACCAGTAGGAGAATTTATGTAGGAATATTTTATTTCTTTGGAAGGGCAGATGGGTGCCGCAATGTACTTGCTGCAGCTCTTCTAGCTGTAATCTTTGAAATTCCCAAGGAATAATTATGTGGGACCACGCAGATTTCTGTCCTTTTCCTAATAAGTCTGGGTGAGAGAAAGTGGGGGAAGATGCTGATAGGATTATATGATTCCATTTTGAGTGGTTGCTAATTGTATTAATTGTGTTCATTGTGGTTGTAAAACTTTGGAACTCTAATATGGGAACTGGTTAATACTGACATCCTGATAGGAATAAAATGATCCCATTACCAGGATAGGAGCACATTATTTGAACCCCAAGATCCCTGCATGCTGAACCTCCTTAATCCAGGAGACAAAGTGGTAGCACCTGAGGAGTGCAGAGCAGTAGGACAGCCCTCAGAAAGAATGAAGCTCGGTGCCTTCAGGCAAGATGCTAAATTGCAGTGAGGTCCTTCAAGGATTGGAGAATGTAGGCTTGCTGACACACAGAGCTACTGTTCTGCACGTTAAAGCTAAGGATTATGGTTGAACTGACACGCCCACATGGGCATCTGTCAGCAATGCTAAATGAGTTTTGAAACACTGCCCAAGTATGACAGAGGCCAAAGTGCTGTGTGGCTGAGGCCAGTGACAACAGAGAGGTGTGCCTGTGGGCACATTTGAGAAGAGGCTGCCTTTTTTTTTTTAATCATCTTATTGGGGATTTGTACAACTCATCATAATCTATACATCCATCCACTGTCTCGAGCACATTTGTACATATGTTGCCATCATCATTTTCAAAGCATTTTCTTTCTACATGAGCCCTAGATATCAGCTCCTCATTTTTGCCCCTCCCTTCCCCACTCATGAACCCTTGATAATTTACAAACAATTGTTATTTTTTCAGGTCTTACACTGTCTGATGTCTCCCCTCACCCCCTTGGCTGTTGTCCATCCCCCCAGGAGGGAGATATAGGTAAGTCATTGTGAACAGTTCCCCCATTGTCCCCCCACCTTCCCCTTATCCTCCTGGTATGTCCACTGTCAATATTGGTCCCGAGGAGTTTATCTGTCCTATATTCCCTGTGTTGTCAGTTCTTATCTGTACCCATGTACGTGCTCTGGTCTAGCCCGATTTGTAAGGTAGAATTGGGGTCATGATAGTGGAGGTGAGGAAGCACTAAGAAGAGACTGTCTTGAGCAAAGCACTTTATCCTGAGCACTTCTGAACGTGAACTGTAACCTGTGAACTTCCCTAATAAGCCTCATAATCGTGCACATTGGTTGAGTTCTGTCTGGCCATTGTGATGAATTGTTATTGAACCCAGCAGAGAAACAGAGACTGCTGCTTGGTGTCAGAATTGGGAAAAGATTTGAAAGGTGCAAGCAAGTCTGACCTTCATCTCATAGGAATCAGCTTTGGGCTGTGGCTAAGTTCGTTTGATTATCCTTCCCACTTGATGGTTTTTCAAATCTCAGAGGCATGCCGTGAAACTCTGAGCGTGAGACCTTTATAGTGACACTGCAAATGATAAGATTGTAGAGAGACATGCTTCCAATAACTCTCCAAACCAAATCAATGCATGCAACACCAGGACAAAGAATGATGTCATACTGAGCAGGCAAGCCATAAAGTTGACATCATTCTTGGGCAGAGCTCCAGATAGTAAAAACCTTGACCTTACTTAAAGCCATGAAACCCACTGTTATTAAGGGAGTGGGGGAAGCAAATAGGAAACTGATTTTGAAAAGGATTACATCACATGGTTTGTATTTGAATCACCTTGATAGATGTCACCAGAGCCTGAGTCTCAACACATCAACAGGTTCATGAGTCAGACTCACACCACACTGGTCTGAGACTGAAATATTTTGATTTCAGGTATAGTGCCCAGGTGACAAAAATGTTTAAAGACTCAAATACTAACCAAATGGTTGAGAGTTCAAACCCACCCAGAGATGACATGGAAATTAAGGCAGAAAGCTTCTGAAAGGTCATGGCCTTGAAAACCCTCAAGGGCAGCACGATTGTGCACACAAGAGGTCACCATGAGTTGGAACTGACTTCATAGCCATGGACAACAACATCAACATTGCCTCAACGGCCAGAAGGCATTAGAGCAAATGCAGAAATAATGAAAAAACAAAAGCGTGGCATGGCACATTTTAAAGAAGGTTTATGTAGAAGATTAGAAAGGCCCTGGCAAATTTCTTTAACCTATTTTCTAGCGTGGAGGGGGGGGGGTTGGGTGGCGGATGTTAGTCAACCCATGACAGCCCTGCTGGTTTCTGCTTCAGTATGTTCCTGCTTTCTGGTTCTCCAGCCAACCACAGCCAACCACGTGAATCCACTCCTCTCCCTTAGATAATGCTCCAAGATGAGGAGCGGGGGCTCAGTCTCCAGAAAAGAATCCACTGAGCCATGTGTCAACACAATTAATCCTTCCTTTTGTTACAACGCGCTTGGCATTGGCAACTCCTTCAGAGCAACTGCGTAACAGTAATTTTTATATTCCATTTATAATTGCAGTTTAAAGAATTGAAAGGAATTTAATCAACTAAGTGATAATCAATATTTAGGGGGAAAATGGTTTACCAAGAAGAGGGGTACCCCCCAAAAAACAGAAATTTTTTCAAAGCTAGGTAGTTAACTTTTTTTTACACAATAACCTTATCACCTTCAAAATACTCCTGATCACACTTAATATATTTGTCAAATCTGTGATTCTATTCTTGGAAACATTTTTGAAACTCGTCGGTTTCAATGGCTGACACCACCTCCCTCGTTTTTTTCTTCACCTGTTCTAAGTCATCAAATCACTGTCCTTTCATGTACCTCTTCATTCATGGAACCAAAAAGAAGTCACATGGACTGAGGTCAGATGAGTAAGTTGCATGGGGCAAGAGAGGCATGATGTTATTTTTCGGTTAAAAACTGGTGCATTGAAATGGCTCTATGAGCAGATGCTCGTGGCAAAATCAGTCCTCCATCTGCCACAAATCAGTTCTTTTTTGTCACACACTGTTATGCAATCTTTTCAGAATCTCTAAATAGAAAGCTCAATTAACAATTTGACCTGGTGGAATGAACTCCATATGCACTATCACATCAAAAAAACAAATGAGCCTCATCTTGGTCTTTGAATTCACTTGAGGAGATTTTTTTTGGGTGAGGTGATGATGGCATCTTCCACTGGCTTGATTGATGTTTGCTTTCGAGTCATAAGAATAGCACCATGTCTAGTCACCAGGAGTAGTAACCTTGGAAAAAAAAGTATGGGTCCCTTCTGAGCTGCTCTTTCAAAGCACAGCATGTTTCCTGGTCAATCAGAACCTGAGGCACAACTTTTCAGTGACCCTCTAATCCCCAAATCTTCCATAAAAGTTCATTGAACCAAGCTCTAAGATAGTCAGATGAACTTCCCTACCTCGTCAATGGTCCATCATGGGTCTTTGAGAACAAGTGCATGAATTTTGTTGACATATTCGTCTTTTCAGAAAGTTGATAGATGTCCAGAGCAAGGTTTGTCATAGATGACATTTCACCATTTTTGAAATGAGAAAACCACTGGTAATCTTGAGTTTTTCCCTAAGTGCTGTCTTTGTAAACTGTGTTCAACATCACAACTGTTTCTGTGGCATTTTTCCCAAGCAGGAAACAAAATTTCACAGCTGCATGCTGTTCTCCTAAATCGGCCATCACTAAAAATGAAGTTCAAGTGAAACTGCTTTTAAGAAAAAATTCACTATGACCAGAGAGAACCTTCCCAGGCAACGCCACTGGGTGCACTAACTCAGAGAGAATTGCTCTATGCTCACCTAGCAGGAAAAATGCATATGATGAAAACTCCACCCAGTGGAACTGTTTCTGGGTACCCCCTCATATATATAAATATGTATAATGAATAGAACATAAAACAAAGTACAAAGTCTTTTCCTCTGCACCTTAGATGGGAAAATTTTATTTACAACATCCAATTCATCTGTTAGCCTTTTACAATCCTTACAAGAGGTTAGAAAAAGAAAATGCTCGGTTACAGTTTTAAGACAACCCAATGTATCGTAATAATGAACATTTAGCCCAGATAAATAATTATTTTATCCATAAAATATGACCAGGAATTTCTCCATATATGTTTCTTTTGGACTTTAAACAACTTTTCTATTTTTTAAAACAGAACCACCTACTTATCGCATCATACCAAAGACCACATTTCATTTTCCTTATTTTTTTTTAAATTTCAGAAGATAGAACCTACATAATGTCATTTTCATTTTTAAATCCATTTCAAAATGATCTCTGTTCTTTTAAAAAGAATTACAATAAGTGAAATAAGTGCCTTTCAATGATTCATCCTTTCATCTCATTTCTATTTTAATGAAACTTGTTTTTTAAAGATAACGTATCTGGCCATTTTTATTACATTTAGAGAAGGAATGGTATGGAATTGGCTGTAAATATAAAAAGTGGAGAATTCTGGGGACTGTACAAAAACCAAACCCAAACTACTACCATGCAGTCGATTCTGACTCATAGCAACCCTCTCTGAGGTCCCACAACTGTAAATATTCATGGAAGCAGGGAGCCTCATCCTTCTCCCAAGGAGTGGCCAGTAGGTTTGAATCTATGAACTTGTGGTTATCAGCCCACAGCACCACCAAGTCTCCTTACCAGGAACTACAAGGTACTGTAAATCCACTCAAGCCTCTGAATCTTGTGCTCATGATAAGCTTTAACATGGCCTTTAAATACTAGCACAAGATACACAGTGATAGTATATTTTCTTGTTGCATGAGATTTTTGTTATCAAAGTACTACACACAAAGGGGGTTCAACAGTTGATGGAAAATGGAATTGAAAGATGATAGAAAATCGCCATCAACTTTTTGCAGTAGTTGTATAGTAGTGAACTGGGGATGTATATTCTTTGCTTTGTATAGGACCTCAAAGGCTGCTTACCTTTTTTACTGCTAGCTGATGTTTTTTTGCCAAAGTAATCACAGATAACTCCTGCATCTTCACTGTGGCGACAGTTGTGTCTTCCAATATCCTGTTTAATGCAGTCAGCCAACGATCTCTCATTTCCCGTGCACTTCACATTATCCACATGGATGGGTCCTATGCCTTCCCCAAAATAAGCCATGGTTCTTGCTCTGGCGGGACCCCTGGAAACAGAGTATTCTTGAACATGTGGAGATTCAGT